AATAGTACTGTCTGTTGTATGTTATCTATATAAATATAATAGTACTGTATGTTGTATGTTATCTATATAAATATAATAGTACTGTATGTTGTATGTTATCTACATAACAATACTGTCTGTTGTATGTTATCTACATAACAGTAATGTCTGTTGTATGTCAATGTAACTATTTCGCAGGGCGTGGATGGTTCTTCAAAAAAATTGGTAAGGAGGCTCATTAGGTCCGTGCGGAGGTACATACAAATTTTCAGTTTTGCGGTTTTTATGGGTGTTTTTTTGCGTTTTTTACCACTACCTCACCTCCTGTGGATGGATCTTCACTAAATTTGGTTTGAAGTTTCATTATGTCCATGCGAAGGTAAATGAAAATTTGCGGTTTCTCATTTTGTGTTTTTCAGTTTTTATGATCGTTTTTTATAATTACATATAAGGGAAGCAACTTTTTATGTTCTAAGATAACCTTTCATTAATCATGAATTTACATAACTTCCGTCCAGGGGACGGGTACTCCAGCTAGTTTTGCAATAAAGTAATTTATTGGGACGTAAAGAATTTAGTCAAGTCGTAGATATACTGAAAACATTCTCCCGGACTTTGATAGAACAAACTGAAAACATTCTCCCGGACTTTGATAGAACAAACTGAAAACATTCTCCCGGACTTTGATAGAACAAACTGAAAACATTCTCCCGGACTTTGATAGAACAAACTGAAAACATTCTCCCGGACTTTGATAGAACAAACTGAAAACATTCTCCCGGACTTTGATAGAACAAACTGAAAACACTCTCCCGGACTTTGATAGAATAAACTGAAAACACTCTCCCGGACTTTGATAGAACAAACTGAAACCACTCCCCCGGACTTTGATAGAATAAACTGAAAACACTCTTCCGGACTTTGATAGAACAAACTGAAAACATTCTCCCGGACTTTGATAGGACAAACTGAAAACACTCTCCCGGACTTTGATAGAATAAACTGAAAACACTCTCCCGGACTTTGATAGAACAAACTGAAAACATTCTCCCGGACTTTGATAGAACAAACTGAAAACATTCTCCCGGACTTTGATAGAACAAACTGAAAACATTCTCCCACACTTTGATAGAACAAACTGAAAACACTCTCCCGGACTTTGATAGAACAAACTGAAAACACTCTCCCGGACTTTGATAGAACAATCCTCAAACACTTGTGAAAATCAATCCCTTACTCTGACCAAATGACACGAATGTTTCGGACATTAGTATAGTGTAAGTTATTGAAAAGTACCTTAAAAGAGAGCACTAATGGGTTAGCTCTAGCTCAGTTGGTAGATACACGTCCGAGGCGAGGAAACATACATTAAAATTAACACCCATCGCACTGACTCAGGGAAACATTTCTGGCGTTGTTACTACTGTGACGATTTCAAACTTTTCTTGTCAATTTTTGCTATTCTTCAAATAAAACGTCGATTTTCTTATAGTGACTCAGAGATACTGGTATGAACATGCTGACAAGACGCTCCAGAAAAAGCAGAAAATCAGTGAGAATCTGGAACGTGGGAAAGCTAAGAACATCATATTTTTTCTTGGAGACGGGATGGGAATGTCCACCATCACAGCTGCTCGAATTTACAAAGGGCAGAAGGCTGGCCTGAAGGGTGCAGAGGCGGAGTTGACGTTCGAAGATTTTCCACACGTGTCACTTTCTAAGGTTGTTTTGTTTTCTTTATATAAACTATAACAAAGTCTATCACTAGTAAAATCAATTATCAGTTACGTTTTATTAAGAAAGTAAAAAAAAAGTACTTTTTTTTAGCTTTTTTTGTTGTCTAAAAATCTGATATTATCTGGAGAATGTTAACGAAACATAATTTCTTAACTTGTTTTTAACTGTCCACCTTTCTGATACTGGAATCCTTCTAAAAGATTTATTATTATTTGCTCTGCTTCTTAACAGTGCAATATTAGGACTAATCTCTGCTGCTGTTTTTTAGGACTAATGTATCAGACATTAGTCCTAGAAAACAGATGTAAATTTTTGGGGACTGATATGAATAAAACACATCTAGAATTTACTGCGCAAAATGTCATTTTATTTGTTTTATTTACTGAATGGGGTAAAAATGTTCACTTGTTTTACATTATAAAAAAAGGCTTAATTGTTGTGTTTCTAGCCTTAAAATGATAAGTTTGATCATTGTACTGAACATCAGAAGGGCATAAGTTCGTTTGTTTGTAGCGCAGAACTACAGAAGAGGCTATCTGCGCTCTGTCGAACCCCAGATTTTAGTGACGTAAGTCCTTCATCTTACCGCTGACCAATCGGGGGACGAAAGAGGTTCACAGGAATATCAGTTTTATTGCACAAGCATTCTTGAACTCGGAGCTTGTTATTCTTTAAAAATAATCAGCTACTATACTTGTTATTCTTTTAAAATATAGCCTAATCAGCTACTATACTTGTTATTCTTTTAAAATATAGCCTAATCAGCTACTATACTTGTTATTCTTTTAAAATATAGCCTAATCAGCTACTATACTTGTTATTCTTTTAAAATATAGCCTAATCAGCTACTACACTTGTTGGGTTCAACATTTCACAGAGCTGTTGAAGCCTTACTTTTAAAACGTTATCAACCAACTTAATATGGCAGTGTAAGTTTGTTCACCGTTTTCTGTGATAATAATTATCGCTTGTTGTTGTTGTTGTTTAGACTTACGCAATAGATAGACAAACATCGGACTCTGCAAACACAGCCACAGCCTACCTATGTGGTGTGAAGGCGAACTATGGAACTCTGGGAGTCAACGGAAAAGTGAAAAACGAGGACTGTGATTCGTCAAAAGATAACTCTACTCACGTGTCTTCCATCCTACAGTGGGCACAAGAAGAAGGTATTTCCATAATATTTCCATTTATATAATATAATAAACTTTATTTAATTAATATATTTATATATACATTGTAGTCGTGTGTTTTTTTTTTCAGGGCCTGATTAATCAGAAGCCAACTCTTGAACACTTAAACAAGCCTTTAAATAACTAAATATTTAATTATTTTGAGTAATTACGGTATTTCTTAGGTGTCACGTGACTTACGACAAGTGTGAGTTGTATACGCTGGATTGCATGTTTAACTGCCATTAACAGAATGCAATACAAATTGGCCCATTAAATCAAGAACAAATCCGTGTTTCTAGGAAAAGGTATAATATATTCACTATATTGTCTCTGCTTTTTTTAGTTTTGACTATTTCTATACCTTCCTTGTGTTTTCTAATGTTCGATTCAAAATGGCCGACGATTATCCGATTTGATTTGACTTAATAAAACTAAGTAATCGATTTCAAAATCGTCGCAACCCTAGTTTCCTGTGAGCCCAGTGATTCCTGTAGTCTTTATATTTGAAAAAAGGTCGTTTTGTTGTATAATAGTTCAATGTCAAAAGGAAATGAAGGCTTGCGGAGAAAGTAAGCTTATCGAAATAAAGTCGCTCACGGGTCCACTGTGGTCTTAATCTGGCCCTGCTCTTTATTGAACTACATTGTTAAAATACTTTGACTACATGTTAACAATACAATTTTGTCTACTGTTAGCGGTAAGTATTATTGTTTCCTGCCCGCGGTTATTTAATTGATAGTTTAAGATCCAATCAGAACAATACCACAGCCCAGTATGTTTCAACAACAAAGCTCGCTCCAAATAAACATTTCCAACTCGAATTACAATATCTTGAAACAGAAAAACGTTGATTCTAATTATCTCTTTCTTCTTAATGATTTTTTTGTCCACACACACAAAAAGACTTCCACGTGGATCTGCCACGAATGCACAATACCCAAATATTAGCCACTAGCCAGTGTATGTAAGCCTAACGTAAAAATATAGCACACTTAAGCTTAACTTGGATTACTCCTTATTGTGTTTACAAATTTGTGTTATTCAGAGAAAAGTACTTTCCGTATTGAAAAACACTATTCAAACACGCCATTATACGCTGATGTGACTTTTCAATGTTCTCTACCTGTGTTTTACAGTGTTTTTATTATACGTTGATGTGACTTTTCAATGTTCTCTACCTGTGTTTTACAGTGTTTTTACTATACATTGATGTGACTTTTCAATGTTCTCTACCTGTGTTTTACAGTGTTTTTACTTATACATTGATGTGACATTTCAATGTTCTCTACCTGTGTTTTACAGTGTTTTTACTATACTTTGATGTGACTTTTCAATGTTCTCTACCTGTGTTTTACAGTGTTTTTACTATACTTTGATGTGACTTTTCAATGTTCTCTACCTGTGTTTTACAGTGTTGTTACTATACATTGATGTGACTTTTCAATGTTCTCTACCTGTGTTTTACAGTGTTTTTACTATACTTTGATGTGACTTTTCAATGTTCTCTATCTGTGTTTTACAGTGTTTTTACTATACTTTGATGTGACTTTTCGATGTTTCTACCTGTGTTTTACAGTGTTGTTATTATACGTTGATGTGACTTTTCAATGTTCTCTACCTGTGTTTTACAGTGTTTTTACTATACTTTGATGTGACTTATCAATGTTCTCTACCTGTGTTTTACAGTGTTTTTACTATACTTTGATGTGACTTATCAATGTTCTCTACCTGTGTTTTACAGTGTTTTTACTATACGCTTCTTTGATTTTGATCGCAGGAAAATCCACTGGTTTTGTTACAACAACTCGTGTCACACATGCGACACCTGCCGGTTTGTATGCACATTCAGCTTCAAGGGATTGGGAGGCTGAAAGTCCTGGCGGCGATGAGAAATGTCCAGATATTGCATTACAATTGGTAAAACAAAACCCTGGTAAAAATATTCAGGTAACAATTGTTCTTTCCTATACTATTTAAATCAAAGTAAATCTATACTTAGTGGTGTCTTTAGGCCTACCCACTTTTTTTTCTTCTTTTCCATTCATTGAATTGTGGCTAGCTGTAAAGTTTTACATGTAAAATTATGTTCAAATCAAGCATCAGAAAGTAAAGTGGGTGAGGAAGTCCAATTTTAGTTTTTTATAGGGTGGTGGTGGGGGTGAGGGGGTGAGTTATTTAAGCGTATTTGCTTAATTTAACGTAAGTAAATAGTTAATTCAGAACGTATTCCCCGTCACACCAAACATGCTCGCCCTTTCAGCCGTGGGGGCGTTATAATGTGACGGTCAATCCCACTATTCGTTG